GGCCTTGAGAGGTTGATGGCTGCTGGATTGCTTGGCTTTTTCGTGAAAAGGTCGCCATCCTGTTTGGCAGACACAGCACGGGGGTGGTGGGCCTCTGGACCTGGGCTGCCGGGAGCCACTTGGTGTCTGGAACAGGGTGCAGGGCAGTGGCATGGCGGGGCGGGGCGTGCGAAGTCAGTCTGTCTTGCATTGGGTCGTTTTTTTCATCTTGTACAACAGACGGTTTCCTTAATTCAGCTTTGGGGGGCGGGGGGGCGGTGGTGCTGGTGAAGGGGGGCTGCCCTGAGTAGTGTTTCTATTAAATAAGATAACGTGCTGGAAGCAGAGTAGGGGAGACACACGGAGCCAGCTTAACGTCATCCAGGTTTAACGTTGTTTGAAAGTTAAAAACAGAACTCGGGCTAAAAAACAAAAAGCAGGAAAGAACACCTGCCATTTTTTTTAAACCCTTTAGTGAGAAGCAGGGTGGTAAAGCCAGAGCATTTGCAATCACTGAAATAGGATTGCAAAGTTAGATGCGGGCTGCTTAATATCCTATGGGCAATAAAACTGCCCTTTGGGACAGGTTATCTTCTTCTGTTGGGTAAAATGATTTATAGCAGATCCGTCTGTAAGTTGACATCTGGCTTCCTGGAGTCTAGGCCCAAATAGAAACAGTAATTTAACCACAGGTAGTCTCATTGGGTAAAGGGTTGGCAACTGCTTTTGTAAATAAAGTTTTATTGGACACAGTGGGCGTGGGGCTGCGTTCAGGCTCCAGCCGCAGAGTGGACAAGTTGCGACAAAGACTGTATGGCCCTAATATTTGCTTTGTGATCCTCTGTAGAAAAAGTTTGCCAGCTCCTGTGCAGAAGAATGAAATAATTCTCGGGAAAACCTTTTAAGTCGGGGCCTCAGTATGAAATAGGAAAAGTCCTGTGGTCAGCTTTCAGCCTGTGTGCTGGTGTTGCATCATTTTCTCAGCATTGTCTGGTCTGGAAGGGTTGTGTGTTCAGGAAGTTTTTGTTAGGTCTTTGCTGACACCTCCTCTGAATTTAAGGACTGACCCTCAGATGTAGCCCCAACCCAGGAAATAGGCCCTTCCTGCTCTCACAGATGGCCTTCCAGAGGCTGGAGACTGTGTGTTTCCTAGGTCATTGTTGTCTGCCTTCTATGGCCTCCTGCCATTGAGTTTCCACCTGCATCCCTGCAGACAGATCCTTGAGAATGATGATGATGGTGATAATAATAATAATACCCATAGTAGCTAATTGATATCACACCTACAGTGTGTCTATCCAGGTATCCAATGCTTCACCCACATCATCTCTTTTACTTAGGAGAAGGAGTTAAGGGACTGTTGTTATTACTCCCATTTTACAGACAAGAAAACCAAGGCTGCTGTTGGTTCTTCAAAGAAACCTTTATGGGGTTCCGGTGGGACATAAGGTGCTACATCACTGAAGCTAATCACTCTTCCCTCTGGGCTGCATGGACCCTGGGCTGGCTTTGTCGTTCTGTAGACCCAGGCGTGCGCGGTTCAGAGCCAAAGAAGCGAGGCTCCAGTTTGGGCTCCGCTGTAGCTCAGCTGAGCCAGTTTGCTTGCCTCTGTGAAATGGAGCCTCTTTGCTGGGCTCTTTGTTTAGAATAAAGTAAGGAGCTTATGGTTGGTATATGAACCCTATAAAAGCTACACAGACATTGGTGGGTTAACCGCCATCCTGCTTCTTAGTCCTTTCTGGTTCCCTGGAGAAAATCAGAACAGGGACGTGGGCATATGCGCGCCACACTTGCGTGTGGTTTGTAAGGGTGTTTGTGGAGGTCCTGCAGCGGGGAGTCCTTGCAGGAGTTCCTGAGCCACAAGCTAAAAACTTGGGACTTGGAACTGCTCCTAAGTCCTTCCTTTGCCTCCTCTCCGTCTATGTGGACATGTGCCTACTGAGCTCCTGCTGGGTGTGAGGAGGGGCCAGTGCAGTGGGTGGTGCAGGTATGGCCCTGCCCCTGAGCTTCCCTCTAGACAGAGATCACCTGCTACGGTCCCAGGTCCCAGGCACGTGACGGGCAGAACGGAGGCGGGGACGGCGGTGGCCTGAGGCTGGGAGACTCAGAGAGGCTGTCAGGCCCGAGGCCACTTGGGGCTTCTTGGCCTTGGCAAGGAGTTTATTTTTACTCTCTGAGCCTCTGCTGTCCAGTGCAAGAGCCATAAAAATTAAATTTGAAATACAGTTAAAAGTTTGGCTTCCCAGTAGAAATTGGAACCTGTGTATACTCTTGGCAGGAATGTAAAATGGTGCAGCCACTGTGGAAAACAGCATGGTGGTTCCTCAAAAAATTAGAAATGGAATTACCTTATGATTCAACAGTTCTGCTTCTGGGTATATACATACAAGAATTGAAAGTGGAGCCTTGAAGAGATATTGGCACAGCCGTGTTCACAGCAGCATTATTCATACTGGCCCAAAGGTGGAAGCCACCCAAGCGTCCACGGGCAGGTGATGGATAAACACAACCTGGTCCATCTGCACAATGGAATATTATTCAGAATTAGAAGGAAAGAAATTTTAACACAGGGTTGGACCTTGAGGACATTATACTCTGAAATACGTCAGTCACAGAAGGACAAGTACAGTATGATTCCATTCACAGGAAGTCCCTAGAAGAGTCAGATCCTTGGAAGCAGAAAGTAGATGGGGGAGCCAGAGGCCAGGGGAGGGGGAGGGAGAGTGAGTGTTTAGTGGGGACAGAGTTTCAGTTTGGGAGGATGAGAAGGTCCTGGAGATGGGCGGTGGGGACAGTCGCACGGTAATGTGAATGTACTTAGTGCCACTGAACTGCACCCTTGAACTATTCAGGATGACAAATATGATGCTATGTGTGTTTTGCCACAGTTTTAAAAAATACGGTTTCTTGGTGCATAACCACAGTGAGCAGCCACGGGGGGGAGTGGCTACCAGGTTGGACAGGCAGTGCACAGACTGGGAACGTTTCTATCACTGCAGAAAGTTCCATCAGGCTGCGCTGCTCGTATGTGAATGTGGCTTCAGGGGACATTTCTGTTCCCTGTGTCCAGTTGGCGGGGTCCACTCAGCCCGTTCACTGCAGCTCTCAAAAAGCCTGAGGGTTTGGAATGAATAACACTCTTCGGTGTCCAAGTCGTGTTTCAGGCCTTGAGGGGAGCACGTGAGGAAAGCACCTCCGAGGACAGGCTCTCCTGTGCCTGAGGCCAGCACAGCCGCGGGGAAGCCCTCTGTCCCTGGCAGTCTGGGAGGAGGGCTGGTCGTTGCGGCCCAGGCCAGATGCCGAGGGACTGAAATCAGGCGGCCACTAGGAAGCGAAGAGGAGTGAGACGTGGGGAGGAAGGCGCTGGCTTGGGGTGCAGGCTTGGCTGCAGTCAGGGCACATTCAAGAGGCAACTGATCCTGTGTTTCTCTCTTGCATCGATGTTTCTCTCTGTCTCTCTCCCTTCCTCTGCTCTCTAAAATAAATACGTAAGTAAGTAAGTAAATGAAATATTAGGGGGAAAAAGAGCCCAGCTTCCTGTAGACAAGTTCAGTTGCACCGAATGATAAATGTCCTCCAGCTGCAAAACCCATGCCCTGGCTGCCATCCGCAGAGCTCTCTCCGTCCTGCTGTAGGGTTGTAGCAGGACGTGACCTCTTCTTTCCTCCAGGACGCTGCGTGTTGCGTGTCCAATGTGCAACATTTGTGTTTTCGAATTACTGATATGCCTTCTTCAAGAGACTGTGTGCTCCCGAGGCAGGGTCTGTGGCCCTGCAGTGACTGCAGTGTCTAGATCAGTGTCAGCACATGTGTTGAAGCAGTAAGTGACCATTGGGCAATTGGCTTAGCCCTCTTGTGCCTCAGTTTCCCCATGTATAAAATGGAGAAAATGGAGACAATAACATATGTTTATGCCAGTACTGCGGCTGTATGCTGGAGCTGGCTTGCTGGGACCGACTGTTCAGTTTTCAGGAAACTTGTCAACTACTTGTTAAACGAGCTGTTATTAAAATTTAAAGAACATAAAATTACAGTGAATAAAATTGTTAAAAACAAAGGTAATAAATACTAAAAACTCCCTCCATCCTAATGATCTCACTCCAGTTTTTATACGTAGTCCCTTATCCATGGTTTCTTTTTCCATGTTTTCAGTGACCCGTGGACTGAAAATACGGAAAATGCCAGAGTTAAGGAATTCATAAGTTGTAAATCGTGCGCTGTTCTGGGTTGCGTGAAATGTCTCGCCGTGCCACTCAGTCCCTCCCGAGACGTGCCTCGCGCCGCCCCGCCCGCGGGCCCCGCCCCCCCTCCCGCCGCACGCGCTCCCCGCTGCGTGTCACTCAGCAGCTGCCTCCGCTGTCAGGCCCGCCTTGGTGCTTGCGCTCGAGCGACCCTTCTTTCACTGCATAACGCCACATCCACCAAACTTAACTTACAATATGTTGGCGGAGTTGTGCTATTTTATTAGTTATTGTTACTCTCTTACTGTACCTAATTTATAAATTAAACTTCATCATTGGTATGTACGTACAGGAAAAAATATATGTGTAGGATTAGATACTATTTGAGATTTCAGGCATTCTCTGGCAGTTTTGGAATGAATCTCTCACAGGTAGGTTGGGGACAATGTTATTTATGCTTTTGAGGTTATTTGCTACTCTTGTATCTTCATAGTGGAGGTACTATTTATGCTGTGGGACCGTGTGTCTCTCACCAGCTCCATGTTCAGTAACTTTATGTTGGTGGTATTTACACAGTGGAAATTGGCAGATGGTACAAGTCAGATCCTCTCTGCCCCTCTCTTTGAAGCGGTTGTTAAGTGTTTAAAACATACCACTGGTTTGGGGGCTTAAATGAGTTCATGCTTTAGTTAACAGTTTTGTGCCTGGGGAGCAGCCTTTGCCATAGAGGTGAGGCTGTTGGTATCATTTTGCTTGGCGCGCACTCCTGCCTCCAGCATTGCTGTCCGTGCAGAAGGAGCTGGGCACGCCGCTGACTAGCTGTTTTCCTCCTCTCTCCAGTCTGCCCGACCATCTGCAAGTCGCATGGCTGCACTGCCGAGGGCCTCTGCTGCCACAGTGAGTGCCTGGGCAACTGCTCGGAGCCCGAAGACCCCACCAAGTGCGTGGCCTGCCGCAACTTCTACCTGGATGGGAGGTGTGTGGAGACCTGCCCGCCCCCATACTATCACTTCCAAGACTGGCGCTGCGTGAACTTCAGCTTCTGCCAGGACCTTCACAACACATGCAAGAACTCGCGGAGGCCAGGCTGCCACCAGTATGTCATTCACAATAACAAGTGCATCCCTGAATGTCCCTCTGGCTACACAATGAATTCCAGCAAGTGAGTTCTGAGTGTGGGTTCTGGGGGTGGGAGCAACAAGGAGGGGAAGGAATGTGAGGTTGGTGATGGTGGTGCCAACAGTTAAAGCTGTGACAAGCCAGAAGCCATTGCTGTGATGGCCGGGGGGGGGGGGGGGGCAGGTTTGGGTCGCCTGCATGCCATTTCTACCTCCTGTTTTGGTTCATGCCTTCACAGCACAAGTCAGCAAACTGTCTCTGTCAAGGGCCACAGGGTAAGTATTTTTGGGATCTTGCACGTGGTTTTTAAAGCTTTCTGTGGTTAGCTTTGGGAATACAAGGCATACAGACAAGAAGAAGTACCTGGCTTCCCATAGAATCCTTCACATTTATGGGACTGTCCCCATGGCTGTGACTTCCTAGCTGTTACACCCAAAATGGAGCTCAGGTTTTTTCATTTCTTCTGAAATGAAGCTGGACATTGTGCTGAGCTCTGCCCACAGCACAAGAAGGAAGAGGCTCAGCTCTTTGATATTCCCCGGGCTTCGTTGTGCTTTGAAGTGTAGGGCCATGGAACCATTCCCTGCTGTTGGGGTAAGAGGGGGCAGGGTTTTCTTTCTTTGTCGTGAGTAAGATGTCCTACACACAGGCAGACTTTTTGTTTATGTTGTTAGCTTCTTAGATGAGTTATTTTGGTTTCTCAGGGCTTTAACCAAGCTTTAAAAAAAATCTGTTTCCTGGTTTTAGTGTTGTGGGTTTGAAAAAAAAGCCCCTCCACAAAACAACACAAAAACAAATTAGAAACAGAGTCACGCCAAGGGGCCTTAAGCTGACCTGCTTACGTAAAAAATCCTTCTCTTCAGACTTGAGAATTAGCCAAAAGAGAGCATTCCGGTGGGCAATTTTATTTCCCCGGGTGGGGAGGGTGGGAAAGACCACCTTCACTTCCGTTCTTATGAACCTGTTTTCAAGTGTTTGTGAAACCTGTAAGTACAACATGTTTTGTTTTATTAGGTTTTGACAAAAACCTGTCATGTGGCTTTGTTGACCAAAAATAGGTCACTATAAATCACTTTGGATGCCAGACAGATCTATTTTTTTCTTTTTTGGGGGCTAGTGTATCAGTAAGGTTGGGAAAATGACCATATGCATTTTGATTCATTTGTTTGTTTGTTTGTTTGTTTTTAATGAACATCTTCTGGTAGGACATTTGTTTAAAAGACATTGTCTTGGCTTTCAATACAAACCTCACCATAACTGAGACCCGAGGAGCAGAGTGACCCCCTTCAGTGCAGGGGTCCCCAGTGGCGCGGGGCCCTGGAGCACCAGCCTCGGGGAACTGACGTGAGCCCCGTGATGCTGGTTGCCTTTGCTGAGAGAGGGCAAAGGGAGTGATGCTGATTAAGACGCATATGGCACAGTTTTAGCTTAGAAGGTTTCTTAAAAAATCAGTATTTTTCCTTACGAAGCTTTTGTTTTATTTTATGAAAGGTGTTAGTTCTGGTGCATTTTCTCATGTGGTTTGATATCAAATAGGACCAGGTATGCTCTCCTCCATTCTTGTAGCTGATCTGAGAAGTAATTCTTGGTGTTTTCAGAGCAGAGACCTGGGGCACGCGTGGAGTCGTATAGGAGCACGCGGCTGCTCCCGGGCACCTGGTGGGAGCAGTGTGTGCTGTTCACGGAGATGAGGACGCGATACTCGGGGTGAATTTTCAGGGTGTGATGGGTGCAGGGTGTTCCTGTTCCCTCCTCCTAGAACGCTCTGCCCCTTGATCTTTGCATGGCTGGCCGCTTCTTGTCATCCAGGTCACAGCGTGCAAGTGATTTCCTCTGAAAGTCCTGCCCTGTCTGACCACCTTGTCTGAATTAGCCATCCGGTCGCTCTTTGGCACATTCTGCAGTTTTAACTCTTTTCTTGGCTTCCCCCACTAGCCGGTATCATAGTTGTCAGTTTATTAATGCTCCTCAGCTCCACCGTGCACTTTCCAAGAGCATTGGTGGGCTCCTTCTGCGGATCAGCCCAGCCCAGCCCTCACTTACGATTCCTAATGGTTGATGGATGGTTTGTCTGGTGTGCGCTCGGTCAGCCCTGATTGGTGGTATTGGATAGCCTCTCACATCTCGGAGGGGCTGCTGGGGCCTCTCTTCATGTGGTTTCTCATCCTGACAGCCAGGAAGGCATGCTCCAATGTGCAAGCACTTTTCAAGCCTCTGCTGACATCACATTTACTCATGTTCCATTGGCCAAAGCGGTTCACCTGCACAAGCCCAAATTCACTGGATGAGGAAATAGACCCTGCTTCTTGATGGGAAGGCTGAAAAGAACATGAGGCCATTTGTAATGTCCCACAGGGAAAGCATGTGGGTTTGTTCACTCTCGTGTGCTTGTGACTTAGAGCAGGCATTGGCACTGGGCCAGAGACTAAATGTGTTTTAGCTCTGAAGGCCATGTGGTCCCTGCTGCAGCTCTTCTGCCCTGATGGTGTAAGGACAGCCATGGATGAGCCTCAAACCACTGGGTGTGGCTGTATATGACGTTATTTACAAAAACAGGTGGTCAGCTGGACACGGCATGTGGGCCATAGTTTTTGGACCCCTAGCTTACTGTGTCACCTGTCACATAATGAGCATTCAATGAATAGTTGTAGAACTAGCAAAAGGACCCAGACATTTGGCCATGGTTCCACTTGTACTCCAGCTGTGCTGACACCAGGTGGGTACACTGCACTACAGTGTGACATTAATCTCTTGGAATTTGTGTCAAACCTCAGGTCAAAAACTGTCTTCCGTAAGACTGCTTTCACTTCAGACTCCAGCCATGCTTTGGGGTCCTTAGGCTGCCTACACTTCCGATCAACTGGCTATAAATTTGGGGGTTCTCACAAACCCTTGTGTTCAATAATTTTTTAGAAGAACTCACAGAACTGAAATAAAGCTGTACCGCTGTGTGGGTCTCGAGCCTACTGATGGCAGCCCCCTCGGGCAGCAGTGCCCGCTGCGCGTGCATCACTCGTAGTGAGCTGTGTGGGCATTGCCCCCTGGGGCCCCTGCTTATGGCCGGCCTGGCTCACATGGTTCTGATTGTGACCACTGGACACACTTCTGAAAGAAGCCATCAGGGAGCTTTGACGAACAAATTTATTACTCAGATTCTGGAGGGTACATGGTATGCCCAGGAGCCACAGAGCCAGGCCTTGGGCAGGGGGCGGAGGGAAGAAAAGGATGGGGGAAGTGGGGGAAGGGACCTGGGGTTCAGCCTATGATAGGGTCTGAGGGAGGCATCTGAAGTTTCCTGGGTTCTCTCTCTCTCTTTTTTCTTTATTTTAAATTAAAATTATTTATTTATTGATTGATTTTAGAGAGAGAGAGCAAGGTGGGGGGGGGGGAGAGATCAATTTGTGTTCCACTTCCCTATGTGTTCATTGGTTGATCTCTGGGTTCTCTGTTGTCAAATTTAAAGCCTAAGAGCAGGAATTAGGGCCCAGGAAGAAAGAAGCAGGTCATCCAAGTGGTCAATGATCTAGGCAACCCAGGGATTTCTGCAGGAGGGACCTTCGTGGATAAGGAGGCTGATTCCTTATATGATTGTTTTACTAGTAGCTGAGTCGTTAGGCTGGCATTGTGCTTATTCAAGATGGATGTCTTCTGAAGTGGATGCCTCGGCATCAGGCAGCTTAGTGTGAGACATACTCTCCATGTACTTAAAATTACAGCTTTGTTATTAAGGATGCATGTAGGGTGAGGTCTGGTAGTGTCTCTGACATGGAGCTCCCCCATGTCTTCCTGGAACCAGGGACGTCACCCTCCCAGCATGTTGTTGTATTCACCAGCCAGAAAAGTCCACTGAGTTTTTACTGGCTTTTCATTACATAGTTGTGATCCATTGAATCCTCCTTGGCCACGTGATGGAACTCCATCTCTAGTCCCTTCCTCTCTCTTGAGGTCAAGTGGCTAAAAAACTCCAGCCCTCCAGTCATGCAGTTGGTCTTTCTGGTGACCAGCTCCATCCTGAAGTTATTATGTAGGGATCACCACAGGCCACTTTTTGTTAGGATAACGCAGGTGCTCCTAGTACACAGGAAATTCCAAGAGCTTTAGAAGCTCTGTGCTGGGACCTGGGACAAAGATCAGCTATGTCCTTTATTTTACCACCATCACAATGATCATTCTGAGGAATCGAATATATAGGCATGTGGAAGTAACAGTAGCAATGATATCACTAATAAAAAGTGGTTGCCATAGCAATGACAAATACATTTTCTTTTTTATGTACTTAGTGCTTTGGGTGGTATATATCACATAGTCTACGTCTTGAGGGTGGGTACTGTCTTTCTCTCCTCTTCGCAGATGAGGAAACAGACTGAGAAATTAACAGGTGGTAATGATGAGATTGTGTGAAACAGAATCCCAATTCAAACTGGCTGAAAAAAGATTAAAGGAGTTTATTGGTGCCTATAACCAAAAATTTCAGGGAACAGCTTCAGGTGCAGCTGTAACCAGGAGCTGTTTTCCATTCTTGGTTTTAATTCTCTCTCCATTGGTTTTGTTCTCAGGGAGCCTCTCCCCAGCTTCTTACTCCATGCTAACAATATAGCAATATTTTCTTAGATACCATAGAAGGAGGACAGTATCTCCTTCCAGGAAGTTCTAGCAAAGTGCTGACTGCACTGACTTGGTATGTCCGAGCCCTCGAGATGGAAAATGGTGCCCAGCCCAGCGTAGATCCTATGTCCTGCCTAGACCCAGGGGAACTGTGCCAGCAATAGCTGATCAGCACAGAGACCTCATATAGGGGAGGGTTCCCAAAGGACTCCTAGGGATTATAAATTTGAGGACATCAGGCTGTAGGCAGGCAAAGCCAAAGTCTGCTCCCAGTCACCCTTCATCAGACATGAGGTCCTGTTATAACCATGGCCACACAGAACAAACATCCCATCTTAGAGTAACAGCCTGAGTCCTGCCACATTGGGGTGACAGCAGTAGTTCTGCCACTTGGTCATAGTAGCAGAGTGAGTCCCATGTAGGCCCATCGGCTCGACAGCGTACCGTCACCGTGGTATCCCTGGGGAGTCCCATTGGTTTGGGGTGATTGTGTGAGTCCTGTCTCCACAGGATAAAGATGATTGTATCCCCATGGGGTGCAGTATGAACCCTATCAGCCTGGGGTACAGCAGGAGCCCTGTCACATAGGGGAAGAAGCATTAGTCCCCTGGGCAACACTGTAGGACCCACTGCTATGGAGAAACAGGAGAAGTCTGCCATTTTAGACAGTGGTTTTTACCTGGGGCAGTTTGCCCTCTTCCCTCCAGGGGACAATGTCTGGAGACGTTTTTGGTGGTCATTGCTTGGTTGGGATTGGAATTGGAAATCAGTAGGTGAAGTTCAGGGATGCTGCTTAACATGCTTAATGCACAGGACAGCCCTACAACAGAGTGCTCTCAGGTCCCAGATGTAATGGTGCTATGGGTGTACTACCTGCTTTAGGGTGATGGTGGCAGTCTTGTTGCTTGGGACCCTGTGCAACATGCTGTCTGTCTCTGTAGACCCCTGACCCTTCTCTCTCCACTTTTTACTCAGCTTGATGTGCACTCCATGCCTGGGCCCCTGTCCTAAGGTCTGTCACCTCCTGGAAGGCGAGAAGACCATTGACTCGGTGACGTCTGCTCAGGAGCTCCGAGGCTGTACCGTCATCAATGGGAGCCTCATCATCAACATTCGAGGGGGCAGTGAGTGCTGGGGGGATGGCCTGCTGGGGTCCGTGTTCCCTGGTAAGGGAGAGGGAAAATGGTCTAGACTTTGCTTCCTGCTTCTTAGGTGATTTTAAGCCTATCCTGAGTGGTTCACTGATCAGTGGAGCCCCCCAACCTGCTTGCTTCCAAACCTAAAATTCACAGCTCCATCTGGTCCCACTCTCCCCACTGAGAAGAGATTCTGAATGTCCACATTGGTAGCTGGAACATCAGGAATTTGCATTTTTATTTTTTATCCTCACCTGAGGATTTTTTCATTGCTTTCCCTCTCATGGGAGAGAGAGAGAGACAGAAAGAGAGAGAGAGAGAGATGTGAGAGAGAAACATCGCTCGTTTGCCTCCTGTCCACCCCCTGACCAGGGATGGAACCTGCACCCTAGGAATGTGCCGGACTGGGAATTGAACATGCAGCCTTGCAGTGTATGGGACGATGCTCCAAGTTATTGAGCCACCAGACAGGGCAGGAATTTGCATTTTAACAAGTGGGCAACATGCCCCATTGCAGGTCTGGGGATTGTGTTTCTAGAAATACCATGGTAGGCCAGAAGATATTCCTCTGTTTATTTATTCAGCAAACATTTGCAAAATATTTACAGTGAACAAGGCAAAGTCTTTACATGATGGATCTTGCAAATAAGCAGATCAACTTATGATGTAAACTCAGGTAGTGGTCCCACTAAGAAGGAAGCAAAGTGGGATAACAGAGGGAGGGAGATGGGCAACCTTTTCTTATAAAGGGCCACATAATATACTCAGCTTTGCAGCCAGAGGGTGTCTGTCATAATTACTCAATGCTGCCCTTGTAGAGAACTTGTGAACAGATGGGCGTGGCTCTGTGCCAGTAAAACTTTAGTTACAAAGCAGACTGGGTTTGGCCGGTGGGCTAGAGTTTGCAGACCTCTGAAATAGAATAAGAGTTTGCTATTGGAAACAGAAGCTTCTGGTCAGAGGAGCCATGTTTTGAGTTGGTGGTGTTACAAACCGAGCACATAGGTGGGAGGGTGATGTTCTGGGCAGAGGAGGCAGCAGGCAAAGTCCTGAGGCAGGAGCATGCCTGGTTTACTGAGAGGATGGTGTGGGGGTCCACGTGTCTGAAACAGGGGGATCAGGGTACCAGATGAGAGAGTTGCTGACCCCATAGTAAGGACTTTGGATTGTATTTTAATTATGATTCATTTTGAGCAGGATGTGTCAGCATGTAATTTAATTACTATGGGAAATTAAGGGAAGATTAAAATATTTCTGTAAACTCACGGGGTATTCTCTGCTTTCTTTAGACAACCTGGCGGCTGAACTAGAGGCCAATCTTGGCCTCATTGAAGAAATTTCAGGGTATCTGAAAATCCGCCGCTCCTATGCTCTTGTGTCACTTTCCTTCTTCCGGAAGTTACGCCTGATTCGGGGGGATACCTTGGAAATCGGGTATGTGGGCCTGGTTTTGTGGCTATGGCCTGACCAGTAACTAGGCAGAGCATGAGTTATAAAAATTTAGGGGTTTTTTGTCAAGACAGGATGAATAGATAAAGAAAATATGTGTATATGTATACACACACATACAAGGAACATTATTCAGGCATATTATTTGTAAAAAAGAATGAAATGCTGCACTTGTGACAACATGGATGGACCCAGAGGGCATTATGCTAAGTGAAACAAGTCAGACAGAGAAAGGTGAATACTGTATGATCTCGCTTATGTGTAGAATCTAAAAAACCCACCATGATCATAGATACTGGAGAACCTTGAGAGGAAGGGCGTGTAGGAATGTGTCTGAAGACCCAGCCAAGGAAAGCGATTCCGGTTTTACAGTCTCTGTTGGAAGTTGCAGGGGGAATGGCCTAACTTTGTGGCCTTCCTAGGACACTAGCCAGAATGAAACAGGGCGTCCGGCTCCCTGGACTTCACTGTGAGTTGGAGTGCAGGCCTGATCAGGACCCTTCAATTGCTGCATCTAGGACCTTCTCATGTCCTGGTCCTGTTGAGTGTTGACCGCACCTGTTCCTCCATGAAATCTCATCTCCTCTGGCCCATAGGGTTCTAACTCCCCAAGATCCTCTGCTGGCCTCCTGGATCTCCTTCCTCATTCCTCTCCCAGGTCATCCTTGAGAGTTGGTGTCCTGGGTTCCCAGACTCAGCCATCTTTCTAGTGATCCCTAATGCTGAGAACTTCTGGCCTAGCTTACCCCCAAGCCTGTTCCTAGCCAGGTGACATCCAGCAGCCTCAAATTTGGCAAATTCAGCCTCCGATTTCTCGAATTTGCTCCTCTTGAAGTCATACTAACCCTATTTCAGTTAGTGAAACAACAGAAATCCAGACTAGCCATGTTTTACGCAGATTGAGATGGACTCCTGGGCCACAAGTCTGAGGAAGACCATCTAAAAATGCCATTGAGGAAATGGCCCAGGCTTTTTCCATCTTTGTGTTCCTCATGGTCACAAGATGACTGCCTCACCCCCAACCTTATGTGCGTAGAACCAGCAGGAATAGAGGAAAGGGACAAAAGTATATGACAACTGAGACTCTTTAAAAAGATCTTACCTGGAACCTCCCACTCTCATGGTCAACACTGATGTCTGTCTATATCTCCTTGGCCAGAACTCGGTCATGTGGCTGCTCCTAGCTGCAGTGGCGTCTAGGAGAGTGGATATTTACCTTTTCCAGTCTGTATAGTAGATGAAGGCAGGGGAAAAAAGGGAATGTGCATGGCTTTCAAGAAGTCAGTCCACAGAATTATTTAGACTACCATCTTCTTTTTCTTTTTTAAAATATTTTAATTCTTTATTTTTAGAGAGAGGGAAAGGGAAGGGGAAAGAGAGGGAGAGAAACATCAACGTGTGGTTGCCTCTTGCACACCCCCTATTAGAGACCTGGCCTGCAACCCAGGCATGTGCCCTGACTGGGAATTGAAGCAGGGACCCTTGTTTCCCAGGGTGGCGCTCAATCCACTGAGCCATACCAGCCAGGGCTGGACTACCTTCTTGAATCATTCACCAACTCATGCTGATTTTTCTGCCATAAAACTGCCTTTTTGTTGACATTCACACCTTCCATTTGTATTCTTCCAATAATCTCCCAGCTGGGTGTCCTAGAACTAGACCAGTGCTGTCCAACAGAAATATAATGTGAGTCATAAATGTGACTTGAAATGTTCTAGTAGCCACATTTTAAAAACTTTAAAATAAATAGATGAAATGAATTTCAGTAATGCATTTTACTTAATGCATGACATCTAAAATGCCATTTCAACTTGGAACCAATGTAAGCAATTACAAAGAGGATCCTTTAACGCTCTTTTTTTGCATGCTAAGCCTTCAAAATTTGTTTTTTGACTTCCAGTACAGTTCAGAATTGCCGCATTTCTTTTTTTTTAATCTATATTTTTAAAATTTTATTTATTTATTTTTAGAAAGTGGGGAAGGGAGTGAGAAAGAGAGGGAGAGAAACCTCAGTGTGTGGTTGCCTCTCATACACCCCTTATACTGGGGACCTGGCCGGTAACCCAGGCATGTGCCCTGACTGGGAATCAAACCTGTGACCCTTTGGTTTGCAGGCTGGCATTCAGTCCACTGGGCCACACCAGCCAGGCCTGGATTGGCCACATTTCAAGTGCTCAATAGCTAGAGATGGCTAGTAGTTTCTGAATTGTACAACACAGGCCTCGATGTTTTGCTTCTCCCATCCATTATTGGCTGGTGGTTCACTAATGGTTCTAAGGTACAGGTCTAAGCAAGATATTGAGTTGTTATGAAACCTTCAATGGCGCCTCTCTACCTACCAAGGAAGATCCCGTGTTCTTAGTCTTGGTCTGATCTGGTAGTATGGCAGAGGTTTTGGCCCGTTGCAGCTCTCCAGTCTTGTTTCCTGTCACCTGTTGGCCAGAGCAGGCTACTTTGCTCGTCCTCAGGTGCCTCTTATCTTCAGTGTTTCCCCACTGTGAAACCCATATCTCAATCCACCACAGTCTTACTTTCCTTCCCCATGGTATGGAGCTCAGGGACCTTCCTGGCCATGAACACTCCCTAAAATTCTCTTGGCCTTTCCACCCCCCATTCAAAACTTACTGAGTTTGTAACAAGCAAGGGGTTAGGGCTGGATATGCAGTACTGAATAAGATCAAATCTAGCCATGACCCCGCCATCTTGGAGTTGGAGACTATAAGCTGATGAATGACAAGGTGTGTGTGTTTCTGTAGGAACTACTCTTTCTATGCCTTGGACAACCAGAACCTAAGGCAGCTATGGGACTGGAGCAAGCACAACCTTACCATCACTCAGGGGAAGCTCTTCTTCCACTATAATCCCAAACTCTGCTTGTCAGAAATTCATAAGATGGAAGAAGTTTCAGGAACCAAGGGGCGCCAGGAGAGGAACGACATCGCTCTGAAGACCAATGGGGACCAGGCGTCCTGTAAGTAGTGATACCCTGGTACTTCGAGCCTGTGAACCAGATAATTTGGCTTCCCTTCCTTTCCCTTACCAAACTGGTCCCCAGGGGTTATCAATGTTCCCTGCCCCCCCCACTAGTGAGCTTAAACGACTCTTTATGTCGTTAAACAGACTTTCTGAAATACTGAAGACAGGTGGTTGTATCTTGTGTCTCCGCCTACTGCGCCAGATACAGTGCCTGATTTTGGAAGATGCCACATAAGCATTGAATAAATGAATGAATAACACCCCTTTATATATGACTTTGGCTCAAATGCTGCAGCAGGGCCTGCAATTGCAATAGTTGGGGACTGTCAGCCAAATAAACTGTGCCAGGTTCCCTCTTGAGGAGATAATCTGATTATTAAGCTGCCTGGGATTCCATAATACCCTCATGTGGAGTTGATTCCTTACAGCAGGATGTGGTCCACGCTGTGGGAATTCTGGGGAGGAAGAGTGAGTTTGGGGTTAGCATAAGGGAAGATTTGCATTCCAGACAGAGGGAATTACCGTTTCCAAGGCATGGAATTGTCTGTCCAAGGCATAATGATCTGTCCACTCACTAAATTAATTTAACATGTGCTTATTTGCACTGGAATTGCATCTTCTGACATATCAGGCCTGAAAGTCCATGTACATGACAAAATTGTGTCAGGACTCAAAAGTCCCTAACTGTTGGCCTGTTGTTCTTTTTGCATTTGTGCTAACTGCTGTTATTACCTGAGTATCTGGCCAGGTAATTGGCTGGCAGTAGGGGCCAACTGCCATGACCAGTTCTTGCCTTCAAATATGTGGAACAACAGGTTGACATTTCCCTTTTCATGGACATTCTTGGGAGTGTAGGATCACTGCTTTGGGCTGAAACAAATTATGAAATACTGATATGGCTTTTTTGAAAAAAAAAAATTTTTTTAGGTGAGAATGAATTACTTAAATTTTCTTACATTCGGACATCCTTTGACAAGATCATGCTGAAGTGGGAACCGTACTGGCCCCCTGACTTCCGAGACCTCCTGGGGTTCATGCTCTTCTACAAAGAGGCGTAAGTAGAGAGTGAAGAGGTGTGGCTGTTACATGTGTGCTCATTGTTCCCCTCTAAGGCTCCTCTCTGTCTCCTTCCTGCTTGTGGAATAAACTTGTAGAAAAGCCAGTAATGAAAACAGACGGGTTTCAACTGGAACTTCAGATTGGCCAATTTCCTATAGTAATATTACATTTTGCCTTTTATATGTACATCTCAGCAGATCTCCTCAATGAAAAGTTATTCAGTATAGTTAGTAGGTTTTAAAAATTTCATTTTTTGCCTATTTTGTATTTTTCCAACATTAAAAATATTGAGGGAGGGAAGTCCAAGATGGTGGCAGAGTAGAGGGATGTTATACTCACCACCTCCCAGGACCAAACTGGGAACTACAACGAAAATATAGAGCACCCAACCTGAAAAACCAACTGAAGACTGCTGAAGAGAAGTCTTATAACCAAGGATTATAAGATCCTTGAAGATTCAAGATTCATAAGATTCAAGAGAGGAAGCCTCATCAAGTCAGGCAGGAAGAGCAGCGACAAGAAAAGGGCTGGCCCCACTCCCATGAATGGTGGCTGAGATTCTGGAGGGATATCTCAGCTGCAGAGTTTCCCTGTGAGAAGCATGGGGTCTCAACTCCAAGCTGGACTTCCTAAGCCAGAGCACAGGAACTGGGAAAAGGTTCCCACATAATATCTGACTTTGAAAATAAGCAGAGATTCTGTCTGCAAGGGAGAGAGAGCAGTCTGCCAGAGACATGGGTACTTTTTTAAAGGGCCAACACATAAAACCTCGTTCATAGCCACAGACCCTGGGCTCTGACAGAGGGAGAGTGGAGTGGAATAGAGTTGCCTGAGGAGAGACGGGGGTTTGTGGCTCTGAAGAAAGCTAAAGAGATAGCTGCCAGGATCCCTGTGCTGAGTCATTCTCCCACACCACAGACACCATCTTCCTTGGGTGGAGCATTCCTCTCTGTGCAGTGTCAGCCTGGGGACATGCAATATCCTTACCCTCTGGGCTCCCTGTCATCCACCCCTGCTGAGCTTGGGCGCTGCTGAGGAGTCAGCTGCCTGGGCCAGGGTGTAAATGTCTGAGCAGACTTGGGGTGTAACTGACTGAATTTGTGTGGCTTTGGTGTGGGGCCTTCCCACTTTCCTGTGAACTTGACTGGCGATGCATCCCTGCGTGGAAGATCCATGGGTCCCACCCTCCCAACTTCTGGTAGCTCTGCCCCGCTGAGGTCTGGGCAGAATCTTGGACAGCCTGAGTTGTGCGGCTCTGGAATGGGGGCTGCGACCCTCCACTTCTGCCAAGCCTAACCAACATCTCCGTCTCACAGGAGATCTACTAGCCCTATCCTCTTGACTCCTGCCTGCTGAACTTGGACAGACTCTGGACAGACTGAATTGAGTGGCTCTAGTATGAGGGTCACTTTTTTCCTCACATGTCTAAAATGTGTAGAAACCTCCCTTCAAGGGCCAAATCTTGGTATGTTTGGGTTTGACACACTCTACTGGCCTTACCCTGATGACTTCCTAGACCCTGTCACACCACAAAGGTGTTTAAGCACCCAGGAGTGGTGGCTAGACTTGGTGTACCCTGGGACATTTGCTGAGTGGCCTCAGAACCAGCACTGGCATGAAGTTTGAACCTGTTTTAGTCCTGTGAACACTTCTCATCCCTACCTGGTGATTCACTGAGAACCTACCTTACACAACTCGACTACAGCCTGTGACTGAGTGTAACAGGCAGCTGGCAGGCAGAGGCAGATCTTAGGTTGCATTGGGACTTTTGCTGACCTGCCTGTGGGCCCAGTGCTGATAAAAGGTAACCTTGATGTGCAGCTTGGTCCTACCCACACATATTGATATCTAACAGAAACAGCAACAAACTGCAGACTGCTTTGTGCATCAAAAAGGTTGCTCAGGGCCAGTAATAGGCAGTGTCTGACATTGGACTGCTCCACAGTCCATTCCAAGAGGTCACAGAACCAACACACAGACTGGCCAGCTTCAGACAGCATCAGAGCAGGATTCAATTAACTTCACAAGAGGCATAGCCAAAGGGAGATCTCAGGAGGCCCAGGACCCTACAGAGGCGAATTCTGCTTCATGTGGTCAGCACCTGCACTGCAGCTTGTATACTGTGGTTGGGGTTGATCCTCACAGTCAGCCAGCATAATGGTCAACCTCACGCATGAACAGGCTAATAGCATCAAAACTCAATTCCAACAGGAGAGCCCACATAACCCAGACAGGGGACATTCCTGGAAAACCCAGGCAAGGTGATCAAGGAGACTGTGCCACTGAGTCTCTCTGGACACCTATGATATAAGTCTACCCCACAAAGACAGGGAGTCATAGCAGATCTACTTAATACATAGAAACAAACACAAAGAAGCAGCCAAAATGGGGAGACAAAGAAACATGCCTCAAATGAAAGAGGAAATCATCAGAAAAAAGAGCTTAATTAAATGGGGTCAAACTATGAATCAGACATGAAATTCAAGAAAGTGATTAAAGGGATGCCCAAGGAACGTAGTGAGAATTACAACAGCATGAGGAAGGACATAGAAGCCATAAAAAGGGATCAATCAAAAATGAAGAATACAATATTCGAAATGAAGACTACACTAGATGGAGCAAACTGTAGGTTGGATGAAGCAGAGGATCAAATCAGTGATTTGGAAGACAGTGTAGCAGAAAAGATCTAATCAGAGCAAGAAAAAGAAAAGAGAATTTAAAAAATGTGGATAATTTAAGGGACCTTTCGGGCAACATGAAGAGTAACAATATCCATTTCATAGGGATATGAAAAGGACAAAAGAGAGAGCAAGGAATTGAGAACCTACTTGAAGAAATAATGACTGAAAATTTCTCTAACCTGGTGAAGGAAAAAGACACACAAGTTCAGACAGTGCAGAGAGTCCCAAATAAGATGAACTCAAAGAGGCCCACACCAAGACACAACATAATTAAAATGGCAAGGGTTAGAGACCAAGAATCTTAAAAGCAGCAAGAGGAAGGAAGTTAGTTACCCTACAAGGGAACTCCCATAAGATTGTCAGCTAATTTCTCAACAGAAACACTTCAGGCCAGAAGGAATTGGCATGAAGCATTCAAAATGATCAAAAACAAGGACCTACAACCAAGGCTACATAACCCAGCAAGGCTGTCATTTAAAATTGAAGGGGAAATAAACAGATTCTCAGATAAGAGAAAGCCAAAGGAGTTTGATACCACTAAATGAGTATTATAGGAAATGTTAAAGCTCTCCTTAAAGAAGGAGAGGGAGGGGGAGGGGAGGAGGGGAAGAAGGAGAAGAAAAGAGGACAAAGTTAAAACAATAAAATGACAATAAATACATATCTTCCATAATCACTTAAATGCAGATGGTTTAAATACTCCAATCAAAAGACTTATGGTAACCGAATGAGTGAAATAACAAAACCCACATATATGCTGGCTATAAGAGATCCACCTCAGAACAGAAGATACACAGAGACTAAAAGTAAGGAAATGGAAAAAGATATTTCATGTGTATAGAAATAAGAAAAAACCCAAGGTAGCAATTCTTATGTCTAACAAAATAGACATTAAAGCCAAAGTTGTAATAAGAGACAAAGATGGACACTATATAATGATAAAGGGAGAAAACCAATAAGAGGATATAATCCATGTAAATATTTATGCTCCCCACATAGGATCGCCTAAATATGTGAAGCAAATCTTGATGGATGAAAAGGGAGAGATTGAAGGTACTACAGACAAAGTAGGGGATTTTAATACCCAATAGACATCAATGGGTTGATCTTCCAGACAGAAAATGAACAAGGAGACAGTGGCCCTAAATGACATACTAGATCTGATGGATTTAATTGCTATCTTTAGAGTATTTCACCCCAAAGCAGCAGAATGAATATGCATTTGTTTCAGATGCACATGGAACATTTCTAGGATAGACTATATGATAGGACACAAAGCAAGGCTCAATAAATATATTTAAGAAGATTGATACGTCATGCATCTTCTCTAACCATAATGGTATGAGACTAGAAGCCAATTGCAAGACAAAAGACCTGAAAAACACAAAAAAGACTTGGAGGCTAAATAACATGTTAGTAAATAATGAATGGGTTAGTAATAAGATCAAGGAAGAAATCAACTAAATATCTTGGCACACATAAAAATGAGAATATAACAACCCAAAATCTATTGGACACAATGAAAGCAGTCCTAGGAAGGAAATTCATAGTATTACAGGCTTATTTCAAGAAACAAGAAAAATCTCAAACAACAAACAAAGCCCAAAATGAGTAGAAGAAAGGAAATAATAAAGATCAGAGCAGAAATGAATGAGAGTCTATAAAAAAAACTACAAAAGATCAGTGAAACTAAAATCTGGTTCTTTGAAAAGATAAACAAGATTGACAAATGTTTAACCAGCCTCATCAAGCAAAAAAAGAGAAAGGACACAAAGAGATAAAATCAGAAATGAAAGAGGAAAAATAACAGCTGACAGCACAGCGATTTGTAAGAAAATATTACAAACAGCTTTATAACAACAAATTGGACAATCTAGGTGACATGGATGAATTCCTAGAAACATACAGTCTTCCAAAACTGAATCAAGAAGAATCAGAAAATCTGAATAGGCAGATTACAATTAGTTGAAGCAGTAATAAAAAAAACAACAAAGAAAAATCTGGGACTAGCTGGCTTCACGAGGGAATTTTACCAAGCATTCATTCAGTGAAGAACAAATACAAGCCTTGATTGGTGTGGCTTGGTTGGTTGGAGCATTGTCCTGTACACTGAAGGTTGTGGGTTTGATTCCTGGTCACGGCACATACCTAGGTTATAGGTTTTCTCTTTCACATTGATGTCTCTCTCTCTGTCCCCGCCTCCTCTGTCTCTAAAAGCAATGAAAAAAATGTAATGTGGGGATTAAAAAAAACCAAACAAACAACTCTCCTCTAATTATTCCAAAATATTCAAGAGGAAGGAAGATTCCCAAGCTCATTTAATGAGGCCAGTATTATTCTAATTTTAAAAGTAGATATAGAGTCTTCAAGGAAAAAAAAAAATTGCAGGCCAATATACCTGATGAACACAGATGCTAAAAATCCCCAACAAAATATTACCAAACTGGATTCAACAATGCATGAACAGGATCAGATGCTATGATCAAGTGGGATTTATTTCAGAGATGCAAGCTTGGTACAATATTTGCAAATCAAGAAATGTGATACACCACATAAACAAAATGAAAGATAACCACGTGATCATATCAATAGGTGCAGGAAAAAGCATTTGATAAAATCCAGCATCCATTCACTATAAAAAAAATCTCAGGAAAGTGGCAATAGAGGGAGCATACCTTAACAAAATAAATGCCATATATGGTAAACCCACAGTGAATAGCATACTCAATAGGCAAAAAACTAAAAGTACTTCCTTAAGATGGGGAACAAGACTAGGATGTCTGCTTTCACCTGTCTTATTTAACATAGTACTGGAAGCCCTAGCCACAAAAGTCAGGCAAGAAGAGGAGATAAAAGATATGCAAATTAGAAAGGAAGAAGTAAAACTCATTATTTGCAGATGACGTGATACTGTATATGGAGAACCCTAAAGATTCAGCCAAAAAACTACTAGAAATGATAAATAAATTCAGTAAAGTAACAGGATATAAAATAAATTTCAGAAATCAGTTGCATTTTTATATGCCAATAATGAACTATCTGAAATGGAACCTAACAATCCCATTTACAATTGCATCAAGAAAAATAAAATACCTAGAAATAAATTTAACCAAGGATGTAATAGACCTGTATTTGTAAGATACTGAAGGAAGAAACTGAAGAAGATACAAATAAGTAGAAGCATATACCAAATTCATGCATTGTAAGAATTAATGTCATTAAAATGTCTGTACTACCCAAACAACCTATAGATTTGACAAAATTCCTATTAAGATACCAATATCATATTTCACAGAACTAAAACAAATATTCCAAAAATTTATATGGAACCACAAAAGAACTGGAATAGCCACAGCAATCATGAGAAAAAAGAACAAAGTCAGAGGAATCATACTACCTGATACCAGACTATAGCACAAGGCCACTGTAATCAAAGATTTTATTTATTTATTTATTTATTTATTTATTTATTTATTTATTTTTAGAGAGAGGGAGGGAGGGAGAGAAACATCAATGTGTGGTTGCTTCTCGTGCACCCCCTACTAGGGACCTGGCCTGCAACCCAGGCATGTGCCCTGACTGGGAATTGAACCGGTGACCCTTTGGTTCTCAGGCCAGTGCTCAGTCCACTCAGCCACGCCAGCCAGGGCAAGGCCACTGTAATTAAAACAGCATGTACTGGAACAGAATAGAGACCCCTAAAATAAACCCATATCTATATGATTAATTAATTTATGACAAATAGGCAAGAATATACAATGTGGTAAAACCAGTCTATTCAATAAATGACGCTGGTAAAATTGGACAGTATCTGCAATTTCAGTACAAAAAAGTGAAACCAGATCACCTTCTTCCACCCTACACAACAATAAACTCAAAATAGATTAAAGACTTAAATGTTAGATTCAAAGCTATAAAAATGGTAGAAGAAAACGTAGGCAGAAAATCTAGGACAGTTGCTGTTGCAGTGTATTTTCTGATATATTTACTTGGGCAAGGGAAGCCAAAGGAAAATGAACAAATGGGACTACATCAAACTAAGAAGTTTTAGCACAGTTAAGGAACCCAACAAAATGAAAAGAAAACCTAATGAATGGGGTAACATATTTGCCAATGGAACATCTGCCAATGGTACATGTGATAAGGGGTTAATGTCCAAAATTTATAAAGACCTTATAAAACTCAACACCAAAAGGAAAAAACAAAAACATAAAACAATGCAGTTAGAAATGGTCAAAGGACCTGGATAGACACTTCTCCAAAGAGGACATACAGATGGCCCATAGACCTATGAAAAGATGCTCAATATCACTAATCATCAGAGAAATGCAAATTAAAACCACACACCTGTTAGAACAGCTACCATCAATAAATAAACGTGCTGGTGAGGATGTGGAGAAAGGGGAACCCTAGTTCACTGTTGGTGGGAAGGCAGATTGCTGCAGCCACTGTGGAATGGAGTTTGGAGTTACCTAAAAAAATTAAAGATGAAACTGTGTTTTGACACAGGGATTTCACTTCTGGGAATATACTCAAAAGAAACCTGAAACACTAATTTGAAAGAATTTATGCATCTCTATGTTCATTGCAGCAGTATGGAAGCAGCTCAAGTGTCCATCAGTAGATGAATGGATAAAAAAAGCTGTAGTACATTTACAGTCGGCCTTAAAAAAGATAAAATCTTAACCCTTTGCGACAGCGTAGGTGGGCCTGAAGAACATTATGCTGGGTGAAATACAAGAGAAAGACAAGTGCACAAGTGCCATACGATTTCATTCATATGTGGAATCTAATGAATAAAATAAGCCAATCAACAAAAAAGACACAGAGACATGGACACATGGAACAGACTGACAGCTGTAAGAGGGAGAGGGGTGTTGGAGGAATGGGTTAAAAAGTTGAGTGGATTAAACAAAAAAACCCTACAAATCTTGTAGAAACAGTCAACAATATGGGGATTGCCAGAGGGAAAGTGGGGTTGGTGGAGCTAGGAGAGGGTAAAGGAAGGTAAATGGTGATGGAAGGAGACTTTATTTTGGGTGTTCAACACATAATACAGTGTAGAGAAGAGTTGTAGAATTGTACACCTAAAACCTATATAATTTTATTACCAAACATTACCCCTGTAAATTCAAGAAAAAAAAAAATGACAACTATTTACAGTGCTTCAAAGGACAGAGTCATGGAGAGTGGAGTTCAGGGAGGTCCAGGGAGGTCCCTGGAGAAATGAGAATGGACTAAAATCTGAGGAAAGGGCCAGAGTCACAATTGTCAAAAAGGCCAGGGGAGGAGCAAATGCAAGAGCAAGGAAAGAGTGGGGCACATTTGAAAAAGTGACCAGTAAAAAGTAGGAGTGTGAAGCCTAGGAGGAGGACAGACCGGAGGCGTAGTGGAGGGAGAGTCTTTACATGGTTTTTTTGACCACATAAGAAACTTGACCTTTACTAAAACCACTGAAGAGAGAACAAAAAAATTATGGGGAAAGTACATAACATAAAATTGACCATTTAAACTAATTTAAGTGTCCAGCTCAGTGGCATTGTGTACAACCACCATCGATCTTAAGAGTTTTCCATGTTCCCAAAGTAATGCGGTGTTAGTGTTAATATCAACAATAGCTCCATTTCTCAAGATTCATTGTGTGTCAGGCTGTGTGCTGAGAAGTTGCATGCCCTCTCTCATGTAATCTTACCAATAACTCATGAGGAAGCTGCTATTAGTATTATCACCATCACTATTGTTATGGGGAAACAACATTGATTACTATTTATTAAATATTTCTTATTAGACATTATTTAATGTTATTTATTACTATATATACGGGGTATAAAACATGTATAATATACAATAAAATTAAACCTAGCACATAATATAATATATAATATTAAATAAATAAAATGTGTTACTGAATATTATTAGTCACTATTTATTAAATATTATTATCATTGAGAACTCAGAGGAGGCGGGTCCCTTTCTCTTTGGCTGTTGGCCGTATTGTTTTTCCTTGTGGCATAAAGTTGTTGGTGAAGAAGATGCAACCCTTTAAGGTGTCATTTCTCCTGGCCACATCTCCAGTCCTCAGAGCAATAGTTGAAAATGGTAACTGTCTTCTTTTTCACCCCAAAAGCCCATATCAGAATGTGACGGAGTTTGATGGGCAGGATGCATGTGGATCCAACAGCTGGACAGTAGTAGACGTTGACCCACCTCTGAGGTCCAATGACCCTAAGTCCCAGAGCCACCCCGGGTGGCTCATGCGGGGACTCAAGCCCTGGACTCAGTATGCCATCTTTGTGAAGACCCTGGTCACCTTTTCCGATGAACGTCGCACATATGGGGCCAAGAGTGACATCATCTATGTCCAGACAGATGCCACCAGTAAGTATATCGTGTGACTTAAGAATTTGTGGAGGAAGCGGACGTGTTGCCCTCACCATGCTGACGTGGTGACGTTGTGTGAAGTGCTTCTGTGCGTGGCCGTGGGCTTCTGGAAGAGCTGGGCGCTGAGGTTTATCATTTCAGGAGACAAGGTCATAGCAACAAGCCAGCTGAGGGGGATATATATTTCTTCTTCCATTGTGGAAAAATTTCAAGTAGTCACAAAAGTGGAAAGAAAAACAAACCCCATGAACCCTCTCGCAGCTTCAACAGTTACCAGCATTTTGCCATTTTTGTTTCATTTCGCATCCCCCTTCCCCATCCCTATTTTTTTTGATGGTGGAGTATTGCAGAACAATTGAGTTATATATTTTTTAAAGATTTTATTTATTTATTTTTAGAGAGGGGAAGGAAGGGAGAAAGAGAGGAAGAAACACCAATGTGTAGGTGCCTCTCATGTGCCCCCAACTGTGGACCTGGCCTGTAACCCAGGCCTGTGCCCTGACTGTGAATCAAACCGGTGATGCTTTGCTTTTCAGGCCGGTGCTCAATCCACTGAGCCACACCAGCCAGGGCTCAGTTATATTTTATACTTCTCCTGTAGCAGTGGGTCTCAGTTGAGGGTGATTCTGCTCTTGGGGGACATTTCGTGAGGTCTGGAGACATTTTTGGTGGTTGTGACTGTGCATCGAGCGAGAGGAACCTAAGGACATAGCACCCAGGAGAAACCCTGTCCTATAGGGTAGAACCCAGACTTCATGAATCAGTCTCAGCTTTTTCAGCTAGTGCCCTCTCATCCTGTACCGTCTAGCAATACCATAGGACTTAGTTTCTGGAAACTTCCAGCTCCCAGGGTTTTGTACACACTGTGTCCTGTACGCCACCCCTCACAGCTCTCTCAGCCACCTCCATCCTTGAGGGAAGGTTTTGTGCAGTCAGGTGAATGGCAGCTAGCTGCCAAAATTTGCCTGTGACTGGGTTCAGTTTGGGATGTTAACCAGAAAATCTGAGTTCACTTCTTCCCACATCCTCCCTCTCCCCAGCATCTTTCCAGTGCCCCAAACAGCGAGCCTGGCCCATGTTGGAGCTGGGTGAGTGGACGGACGGGTAGATGCCCATGTGGTCCACGTGGTCTGTGGTAGGGACGGACCGGGATTCTGCACCTGCTGTCCTCCCTGGGCCAGCACTCTGCATGCCTCCGGTTTTCTTGGATGTTACACAGCCCGGCAGCAAACACCTTCATGGCTTCTCTAACTTGTGTGTCCCCTCACACCTACCCTATAGCTTGCACCCTCCTCATAGTGGACCTGTTTTCTTTTACTTTTCTAGATCCTTCTGTGCCCCTGGATCCCATCTCGGTTTCTAACTCCTCATCTCAGATTATCCTGAAATGGAAGCCTCCCTCTGACCCCAACGGCAACATCACGCATTACCTGGTTTTCTGGGAGAGGCAGGCGGAGGACAGTGAGCTGTATGAGTTGGATTATTGCCTCAAAGGTGGGTGTGGGAGCGGCAGGTTTCACACACGTCTGCTCCACTTTGTTTCACTTTCAGGGAAACAACTCTCTTCCATTTCCCAGCGTGTGTTCGAGAGCAGACTTGCTCATGCTCAGATCCATCTCACATGGAAACACACGTGCATGTTTCTAAACATTACAATGTGAGTATGCATTCTGAAGTCTTATGTGGAAACTAGGTGTTTCCCATGTCTTGGCATTATTTCCCTGTGGAATTTTCTTCTCCCTGCCCACCGCTCCCCATCTTCTTCCCCCACCCTGCGTAATGGGGAGGTAGCTGTGTTCACCCACAGGAGACTTCCCTGCTGGAATAGAAACAACCAAGCGTGCTGAGAGGTGGTTGAAAAAGTCAAGGAAGGACTTTGGCCCTAAATTTAGATCCTTAAGTTTTAAGGATCCTAGACAGCAAGGAGTGATAACCTATTTCTTCTTGTGCTGTTTAATAGAAATTTATACTAATGATGATTTCCTTCAGTCTTTTTTTCTTTCTTTCTTTCTTTCTTTATTTTTAAATACATTTGCCTCTGCCTCCCCCCCACCACTTTCCCTTGCCCCCTCCCTCCTTCCCTCCCTCAGCTCTTCCCCTTTGGTTTTGTCCATGAGTCCTTGCTATATGTTCCTTGACTTTCCCCTTCCCTTCCCTTTCCCTGCCTGCCCCTTCCTCCTTCCCTCTTGTCTCTGTTGATTTCTTTTCCTTTCAGTGTTGCTGGTCATATTTTCCTTGCATCTTTGCATTGTTGGTTAGGTTCCGCTTATAGGTGAGATCATATGGTATTTGTCTTTTGCCCCCTGGCTTATTTCGCATAGCATAATGCTCTCCAGTTCCATCCATGCTGTCGCGAAGTTTAGTAGTTCTTTTTTCCTTTCTGCTGCGTAGTATTCCATTGTGTATATGTACCATAATTTTTTGATCCAATCATCTACTGATGGACATTTAGGTTGCTTCCAACACTTGGCTATTGTAAATTGTGCTGCTATGAACATTGGGGTGCATAGGTTCTTTTGTATTGGCGTTTTGGTGTTCTTAGGGTATAGTCCCAGCAGGGGAATCACTGGATCAAAAGGCAGTTCCATTTTCAGCTTTTGGAGGAAATTCCACACTGCTTTCCACAGTGGCTGCACCAGTCTGCATTCCCACCAACAGTGTACTAGGGTTCCCTTTTCTCCACAGCCTCGCCGGTACCTGTTGTTTGTGGATCTGTTTATGATGGCCATTCTGACCGGTGTGAGGTGGTACCTCATGGTGGTTTTGATCTGCATTTCTCTGATGGCTAGTGATGCTGAGCATCCTTTCAAATGCCTCTGGGCCTTCTGTATCTCCTCCTTGGAAAAGCATCTGCCCAGGTCCTTTGCCCATTTTTTGATTGGATCGTTTGTCTTCTTGGAGTGGAGTCGAGTGAGTTCTTTATGTATCTTGGAGATCAAACCTCTATCTGATGTATCAGTAGCAAAAATATTTTCCCATAGGGTTGGCTCCCTTTTCATTTTGCTGATGTTTTCTTTTGCCGTGCAGAAGCTTCTTATTTTGATGAGGTCCCACTTGTTTATTCTTTCCTTTATGGCCCTTGCTTTAGGAGACATATCAGTGAAAAAATTGCTGCGTGGGATATCTGAGAGTTTCCTGCCCATGTTCTCCTCTAGGACTTTGATGGTGTTGTGACTTATATTTAAGTCCTTTATCCGTCTTGAGTTTATTTTTGTGTATGGTGTCAGCTGATGATCCAATTTCAATTTTTTGCATGTAGCCATCCAGCTCTCCCAACACTATTTCTTGAAGAGGCTGTTATTGCTCCATTTTATGCTTCTGCCCCCTTTGTCAAATATTAGTTGACCACATAGACCTGGGCTTATTTCTGGACTTTCTATTCTGTTCCACTGGTCTATGGGTCTGTTCTTGTGCCAGTACCAGATTGTTTTGAGTATGGTGGCTTTGTAGTAGAGTTTGATATCTGGTATTGTGATCCCTCCTACTTTGTGTTTCTTTCTCAAAATTACTGAGGCTATTTGGGGTCGTTTATGGTTCCATATAAATTTTTGAAATGTCTGTTCTATTTCTGTGAAATACATCATTGGTATCTTAATAGAGATTGTGTTGAATCTATAAATTGCTTTGGGTAGTATGGACATTTTGATGATATTAATTCTTCCAATCCATGAGCATGGTATATGCTTCCATTTATTTGTGTCTTCCTTAATTTCTTTTTTCAATGTTGTATAGTTTTCTGCATACAGGTCTTTTACGTCTTCGGTTAAATTTATGCCTAGGTACTTTATTTTTCTTCTTGCTATATCGAATGGTATTTTTCCTCTGATTTCTTCTTCTATTGCATTGCTGGTGTACAAAAATGCCTTTGATTTCTGAATGTTGACTTTGTATCCTGCTGTTTTGCCAAATTCACTTATTAGGTTGAGGAGTTTTTTTGGTAGAGTCTACAGGGTTCTCTATGTACACTATCATGTCATCTGCACACAATGATAGCTTTACTTCCTCCTTTCCTATTTGGATGCCTTTTATCTCTTTCTCTTGTCTGACCGCTGTGGCTAGGACTTCCAATACGATGTTGAAAAGAAGCGGTGAGAGCGGACATCCTTGGCGTGTTCCTGATCTTAGTGGGAAAGCTTTCAGTTTTTGCCCGTCGAGTATGATATTGGCTGTAGGTTTTTCATATATGGCCTTTGTTATGTTGAGGAATGCCCCATTTATTCCCATTCTGCTGAGTGTTTTGATCATAAATGGGTGCTGTACCTTATCAAATGCTTTTTCTGCATCTATCGAGATGATCATGTGGTTTTTGTCTTGTCTTTTATTTATGTGATGTATCACGTTTACTGATTTGCATGTATTGAACCATTCCTGCATCCCTGGGATGAATCCCACTTGATTGTGGTGGATAATCTTTTTAATGTATTGCTGGATGCGGTTTGCCAATATTTTGTTGAGGATTTTAGCATCTATGTTCATCAGCGAAATTGGCCTGTAGTTTTCTTTCTTTGTAGGGTCTTTATCTGGTTTTGGGATCAGGGTGATGCTGACCTCAGAAAGAGCCTGGGAGTCTTCCCTCCTCCTGGATTTTTTGGAATAGTCTGAGAAGGACAAGGGTTAGCTCTTCCTTAAATGTTTTGTAAAATTCTCCTGGGAAACCGTCTGGCCCTGGGCTTTTGTGTGCCAGGAGTTTCTTGAATACTGCTTCAATTTCCCCAGCTGTTATCGGTCTGTTCAAGCTTTCTGTTTCTTCCTCCTTCAGTGTTTGAAGATTATACTTTTCTAAAAATTTGTCCATTTCATCCAGGTTTTCAAATTTCTTGGCATATAATTGTTCATAATAGTTTTTGATGATCATCTGTATTTCTGTGGTATCAGTTGTTATTTCTCCTCTTTCATTTCTGATGTTATTAATTTGGGTCCTCTCCCTTTTTTTCTTGATGAGTCTGCTTAATGGCTTGTCAACTTTATGAATCTTTTCAAAGAACCAGCTTCTGGATTGGTTGATCCTCTGAATTGTTCTTTTTGTCTCTATGTCATTCAGTTCTGCTCTAACCTTGACTATTTCCTTCCTTCTCCTTGCTCTGGGATTTATTTGTTGTTGTTTCTCCAGTTCTTGAAGTTGTAGTGTTAGGTCTTTTATTTGAAATGTTTCTATCTTTTATAGGTAAGACTGTATTGCTATGAACTTCCCTCTCAGGACCGCCTTTGCTGTGTCCCATAGGTTTTGGACTGTTGTCTGTTCATTTTCATTTGTTTCCAGAAATTTTTTGATATCTTCTCTTATCTCATTATTGACCCATTCATTGTTTAATAGTGTACTGTTCAGTCTCCATGAGTTTGCAAGTTTTTGAAGTTTCTCTTTGAGGTTGATTTCGAGTTTCAAGGCCTTGTGTTCCGAGAAAAAGTTTGGTATTATTTCAATTTTCCTGAATTTGCTGAGGCTTGCTCTGTGTCCTATCATGTGGTCTATCTTTGAAAAACTGCCATGAGCATTTGAAAAGAATGTGTATTTTTCTTCTTTGGGATGTAAGGTTCTATATATGTCAGTTAAGTCTCTTTGATTCAGTGTGTCATTCAGCGCCACAATATGTTTATTAATGTTTTGTTTGGAAGAGCTGTCCATTTTTGACAGTGGGGTGTTGAAATCCCCTACTATCAGTGTGTTGCTGTCTATATCTTTTTTGAAGTCATCCAACAATTTCCTTATCAACTTGGGGGCTGCTATATTGGGGGCATATAAGTTTACAATGTTGATGTCTTCTTGATAGATTCTTCCTTTAAGTAGTATAAAGTGCCCCTCTGGGTCTCTCTTTATGGCCTTTGTTTTGAAATCTACTTTGTCTGATACAAGTATGGCAACCCCGGCCTTTTTCTCTTGCCCGTTTGCTCTGACTATTTTTTTCCATCCCTTTACTTTCAGTCTGTGTAGGTCTCTTACTCTGAGGTGGGTCTCTTGTAGGCAGCATATGTGTGGGTCATGTTTTCTTATCCATTCAGCTACCCTGTGTCTTTTGACTGGGGCATTTAGTCCATTCACATTGAGAGATATTACTGATAGGAACTTCCTCATCTTTTCTCTTTGTACCTGTGTTCCTCTCTCTCTCATTCTTTTCCTTCATCTGCTTATACCAGTCCCCTTAGCATATCTTGGAGTGCTGGTTTGGTAGAGATGTATTCTTTTAGTCTTCTCTTGTCTGGAAAACTCCGTATTTCCCCTTCTATTTTAATGGAGAGCCTAGCTGGGTAGAGCAGCCTTGGCTGTAGGCCCTTGCTCTTCATGGCTTGGAATATTTGTTGCCATTCCCTTCTGGCTTGGAGTGTTTCTGTTGAGAAGTCAGCTCCTAGGCGTATCGGAGCCCCCTTGTATGTTACTTTCTCCTTCTCCTTTGCTGCCTTGAGGATTCTCTCTTTGTCTTTGACATTTGCCATTTTAATGATGATGTGTCTTGGAGTGGACCTCTTTGAGTCCCTCTTGAGTGGGGTCCTCTGTGCCT